TTGAGTGGCTTTGAGGAGCTGTTAAGAGACCAGGGAGACGAAGCAGTCACTTGATTGCCTGGTGGCCTGGCAGGACGGGCCCTGAAAGGCCCCCTTTGTGCTGGGCCGGTCCCTGGGAAGCTGCATTCAATTACTGAGGCCCGTGAGAATTGAAAGCCGCAATAGGAGACCCTGGTTTCCCCCTCGCTTTCTTCTCTTCTCGCCCTACCCCCACCCCGAAAAGAAACAGATGTTCAGGGAGATGGAGGCGGGAGCAGCAGTCGCTGATGCAAAGCCCTCCTGCTTGGGCTTTGGAGGGCGGAGCGGAGGAAGGGGAAGACCAGACTCTGGCCTGCCTGGCCCCTCCCGCAGCGCAAGCTCTGTTTGGCTCCCTGCTCTTCCTTCTGGTGCCTTCCATCCCTGAGATGCTGCCCATAGAGTGCCTGGGAGCAGTAAGCATTCGGCAGATAGTAGCTGGTAGGACGGGGATGGTCTAGATGAGTGGGCTTTGGGATCTGGGCCCCTAGGAGGGCCAGAGAACCCCACTCCCCACCTTGCTTACAGTCCAGACATGCCCCTCTCTTGGAGTTGGGGGTTAGTGGGGAGCGGGCAGCTAACCTTCTTCTCCCATTCCAGCTGCCTGAGCACTGAGTTAGCCTCCCCAGCTTCCTGGCCCCTTCTAATCCCTGCCAGGGGGGCTTTAAGGCTTCTCACTCCGTCTCTTCCTTTTCCCACCCAGGCCCACCCTCACTGTCCCCATTGATAATACCTTTTACAGCATTCTCTCCTGGGTTAGCTCATTTCACCCTGTGAACTATGGAACTCTACCCATTTTACAGACAAGGACACTGAGGCTGAGACAGCCTGCTGGTAAGGGCCAGAACTTCCCTGTGCCACAAGCTCCTCTCCGCAGAGATTCTTTTCCACTGGTCCCACAGTCATCCTGGGGTTCCCTCCTCTGCAAGGCTGCGGCCTGGGGCTAGCCAAAATTCTAGAACCCCTGCAGATGATGCTAACAACTGTTCAAGTCAGTTAGTGGGTGGAGACACCGAACCTGTAGGGAAAACTGGGGGACATCCCTGTCTGGTCCCCCGCACTCACAGACCCTCGCTGCTCCTGGGCGGGACAGACCCCCAGCCTCCTGCCTCACAGATCCGCGCTGCTCCAGGCCAGCCTCACTCGGCCTAGCGTTAGGTGCCCCTGCTGGGCATATGGAGTCTCCTGCCCTGCCTATACCCCCTCTTTGTTCTCCTGGGCCAGCAGCTGGGCGGTAGGCACAGAAAGGGGCTTGTGTTCTGCTGCATTGCGTCATGGGGCAGACCGAGCCCAGGGACTTTCCATTGTCTTGGGCAGCCGTCTGTGCCTGCCAAGAGGATTGAGGTCCTGGTGGGGGAGTGTCTGCTGGGGGCGGTGGTAAGGAGAGTGGCTGGGGTTGTAGAGAGGTGAGGAGAGGGAGGGGAGGGGCCAGAGAACATAAATTAGCAGATGGACTAGGGAGTATTTAATTCCTGCTGGGAGTCGGGGTGGGGGGTTGTGGGGAAGCTCTTGTTCCCATCCTGTGGTCTCCAGGCAGGAGTGTAGGAGTTAAGAGGTGCGTGGGCTTTAGAAAATCAGGCAGATTGGAGTTCAAGCCCGGCCGGATCACTTCCCCAGCAAAACCCTCACCCTTCCTGTACTTTATGTGCCCCTCAGTACCCAGGCAGCATCGGTGCTCAGGTAGCCATAGGAGCTACAGCACAGAGGTGTGAAAATTAAATCCAGTTATACACGTCAGCATTTCGGACTGTCTGGCAGAGTGCCTGATCCAGTGGCAGGGGTCGTTATAGTTCTGTTCGTTGTAGCTACGTCCCTCGAGATGTATCCCCATGTTATGAAGGACTCTGAGTTCCTGAGAACAAGCCGTGCATCTCATTTCCCAAAGCCCAGACCCTTGGGACAAAAGTCCCCACTCCATTTTCTTTATCTGTAAAGCAGGACACAGCTCCCCATCCCAAACTTGTTTGGATTGGGCTGCCTGGGTTTTATGTTCTACTTGGGTTGCTGTGATTCACTAACTTCCCCCAGGCAGGGGCATTCACTGGGGAGGACTGAGGAGGCCTGAGTAGGGTCCTCTGAGCTGCAGTGCACTGAGCATGTACACTGAAATCGGAGCACTTCTCTTCCAGAGAGTTCTGAGGGTGGTCCCATCTGTTGTCTTATTAGCTCTCAGAACATGGCTGGAGCTCAGGGTAGGGGAACGGGTGCACAATGTTTTTAGCTCCACAATTCAGATTTCACTTTCCAACCGAGATGGATTCTTGTTTGGGGCTGATGTCCCCAATAGATAGATGAAGCCTGTGCCTAGGCCATCAAAGTGTCGGGAAAAAAAGTCAGGAATAATTTAATATTTTTATCTTTAAAAAAAACAAAAAACAAAAAACTTCAGGTTGGGTGTAGTGTAATTATGCCTGTAATCCCAACACTTTGGGAGGCCGAGGCAGGAGCATAGCTTGGGCCCACAAGTTTGAGACCAGCCTAGGCAACAAAGAGAGACCCCTGTCTCTAAAACAAACAAACAAACAAACAAACAGGCCAGCCACGGTAGCTCGCGCCTGTAATCCCAGAACTTTGGGAAGTCAAGATGGGCAGATCACCTGAGGTTGGGAGTTCGAGGCCCGCCTGACCAACATGGCGAAACCCCATCTCTACTAAAAATACAAAAATTAGCCAGGTGTGGTGGCGTGTGCCTGTAATCCTAGCTATTCAGGAGGCTGAAGCAGGAGAATCGCTTGAACCCCGGAGGCAGAGGTTGAGGTGAGCCAAGATCATGCCACTACACTTAAGCCCGGACGACAAGAGCAAAACTCCATCTCAAAAATAATAATAATAATAACAACTTTAAGGTTTTAATTACATGAAAATTCTGAACTTTTGTTTAGACTTTTCTCATGCTTAGTTTGTAATAAAGTGTTGTTTTTATGTTGGATCACACATGGACAGGCACAGGCATTTTTTAACTGCCCGGAGCCTCTAAAGGTCTTAATCTGGCTCTGGCTTTGTCCCCAGTCACAAAGTAAATCAGAAGCTGGACCAAGATGATAACTTAGTAGGTTGTGGTTGAACCTCAAAAACATGGCTTTGTGTCAGAGAAGCCAGACACAAAAGGCCACATATTATATGATCCCATTTCTATGAAAGTCCCAAATAAGTTAATCCCTGGAGACAGAAAACAGATTAGTAGTTGCCAGGGGCATGGATATAGGGAGTGCCCGGTGGGGGCAGAGATGGGGAGTGACTGCTTCCTGGGTACAGGGTTTTACTTTGGGGTGATGGAAATGATTCGGGGCTGGATAGAAGTGGTGGTTGCACAACATTGTGAAGGTCCTAATGCACTGAGTCATAGACTTTAGAATGGTTCACTTTCGGTTATGTGAACCTCACTTCAATTGAAAACAAAGCTAGGCTGGGCACGGTGGCCCACGCCTGTAATCCCAGCACTTTGAGAGGCCAAGGCGGGTGGATCACCTGAGGTCAGGAGTTCAAGACCAGCCTGGCCAACATGGTGAAAGCCCATCTCTACTAAAAATAGAAAAAATGAGCCGGGCATGGTGGCAGGTGCCTGTAATTTCAACTACTCCAAAGGCTGAGGCAGGAGAATCACTTGAACCCGGGAGGTAGAGGTTGCAGTGAGCCCAGATTGTGCCACTGCACTCCAGCCTGGACAACAAGAGCGAAACTGCCTATCAAAAAAGAAAAAAGAAAAGAAAACAAAACGAAACAAAGGTGAAGTAAAGTGACTCATGCCTGTAATCCCAGCCCTTTGGGAGACCAAGGCAGGAGGATCACTTAAGCCCAGGAGTTCTAGACCAGCCTGGGTAACATAAGGAAATCTCATCACAAGAGAAAATTTTTTTAAGTTAGTAGGGCATGGTCATGCACCTATAGTCCTGGCGACTCAGAAGGCTGACGTGGGAGGATAGCTTGAGCTCAGGAAGTTGAGGCCACAGTGAGTTAGGATCGCATCACTGCACTCCAGCCTGGGCAACAGTGTGAGACCCTGTCCCAAAAAGTACATAAATAAATAAATATAAATAAAAGTAAAAATAAAAAGGAAAGAAAATAAAACTTGCCAGGCGTAGTGACTGACGCCTGTAATCCCAGTACTTTGGGAGAGTAAGGCGGGTGGATCACTTGAGGTCAGGAGTTCAAGACCAGCCTGGCCAATGTGGTGAAACCCCTAAATACACAAAAAAATTACCCAGGCGTGGTGGCACATGTCTGTCATCCCAGCTACTCAGGAGGCTGAGGCAGGAGAATTGCTTGAACCTGCGAGTTGGAGGTTGGAGTGAGCCGAGATCATGCCAGTGCACTCCAGCCTGGGTGACAGAGTGAGATTCTGTCTCCAAAAAAAAAAAAAGAAAGAAAGAAAACAAAAACTCAGGTCTTCTGATTCTATCTGGTATCTCCCAGCTCTAAGCCAACCCCATAGTAGACCCTTCTGGTCTGGGATCTGCTCTGAAGGAAGCAGCAGGCGGGCACAAACGGGCACCAGACCCCCTTGGCAGCGAGGGAGCTGGGAAGCCCAGAGTCCAAGTCTTGAAAAAGGCAGAGCAGGCCAGGCGCGGTGGCTCACACCTGTACTCTCAGCACTTTGGGAGGCTGAGGCAGGTGGATCACCTGAGGTCAGGAGTTCGAGACCAGCCTGACCAACATGGAGAAACCCCATCTTTACTAAAAATACAAAAAATTAGCTGGGCATGGTGGCAGGTGCCTGTAATCCCAGCTATTCAGGAGGCTGAGGCAGGAGAATCACTTGAACCCAAGAGGTGGAGGTTGCAGTGAGCCAAGATTGGGCCGTTGTACTCCAGCCTGGGCAACAAGAGTGAAACTCCATCTCAGAATTTAAAAAAAAAAAAGAAAAGAAAAGAAAAGAAAAAGGCAGAGCAGCGTTTTGAACCAGAATGCCCTGTGCCTTCCGGCCCCGACCACAGTAGCCTGTCCCTACGGGGCCACTGACACGCCCTGATTCTCTGTCCTCCCAGGGAAGTGACAGCGAGTACGAGGTCGACTCAAACCACCAGAAGGCCCACTCCTTTGTCAACCACTACATCAGTGACCCCACATACTACAACTCGTGGCGGCGGCAGCAAAAGGGCATCTCAAGGGCACAGGCCTACAGCTACACTGAGAGCGACTCGGGTGAGCCGGATCACGCTGCCGTCACCAACAACACCAGCACCCAGCAGGGCAGCCTCTTTCGGCCCAAGGCCAGTCGGACTCCAACGCCCCAGAACCCCCCTAATCCCCCAAGTCAGCAGAGCACCCTCTACCGTCCCCCCAGCAGCCTGGCCCCTGGCTCCCGGGCTCCCATAGCAGGATTTTCATCATTTGTTTGACATCGGAAGAGGAAAAAGCAAGAAAGAGAAAAGGCACCAAACTCCTCCTTCGCCCTCCTCTCACCGCCTGCCAGAAACACCAAGAAACCAAGTCAACTTTTCACCTCCTGAGTTTATTTTTCCAGAGATTCCAGGGCCAGCAAAGCCGGCGTTCAGAGGGAGGGAGAAAACCGTGAGAGGATGTGTGTGGCCAGCAGCTCTTCAGCTTTGAGATGGTGGGGTTCACTGCTCCCTTGGGAATTACACGGAGCTGGGGAAGTGGTTGTGTCACTGCTGTGGACACAGAGTGGGGTGGGCCTCTGGAGAGAGAGGGGGAGCGAAGGCTGAGGACTGGAGGCCGCCAGGCAGGCGTGGCTAAGGAAGAAGCTTCTGGATGTCCACCCAGCTGCCCCCTTCCAGTCCCTGCGGGACCACCGGACCCACTGCCACTGCTCTCTGCAAAAAGGATGGGCATCCCGGAGGCCACGCCTGCCTTCTCTCCCTGCTCCTCCTTCCCCTCTCCCTCCATGCACCATCACCATGGCTGGCAGGCATCGGACAGCCTTGTCCAGACCCCCTGTCCTGTCTTGGCAACCTCTACTGCCCACCTCCCCTGCTCAACTTCTCCACCAAGCATTTGGTTTATTTAGAAAAAGGAAGAGAAAAAAAAAACTAAAGGGTGAGAATTTGCGTAGCGCCTTCCTTGTTCCTGCATATTTTTTTAAAATTTGAAACCAAGGAAGTGAGTCCAAGGGTAGAGGAGAAATCCCCCACAACTGACCCTGCCTCCCCGTGCTGGAACTGACTTTCCTGCGCACGGACAAGGAAAGGTGGAGTCTGGGGAGCAGAGGTGTAAATAAGGCAACTGGCCTGGGCACTGTGGGATAATTAGGTTTAATGCATTGTGGGCAAGATAAGAATGACGCTGTGACTGTTCTCTTTCTTCCAATCCAGGTTCCATCTGTCCCATCTTTAAAGGACTAGTCAGCTTCCCTAGGCTGGGGAGTGGGGCACAGGTGAGGGATCTCCCTCTGGGCAGACACGTCACTCTCCAGTGGATAGATCCTCACCACACACACACACACACACACACACACACACCTCCCATGCACTTGCAAGGAACAGGGTCTAGGAATCCTCTCCAGAACAGACTCATTTGGGTCCTCCTAGCCAGACAGCACACTCACTTTCAGATCTGTGTCCCTCTCGCTGTCGCCTGGCAGCCTCCTAAGCACAGACGCATAGGAGCCCAGAGGGGTGGCCCAAGTCCCTGGTCCAGAGGCTGGAACACCCAGAATTTGCTCAGTCTGCCTAGCACCCAGTTTACAGACAAAGAAGCAGAAGCACCCTAACCTCCAGCAACAGCTTCCAGGCTGGGCTTTGCCTGGCCAGGGCCGGGAGGGGAAGGGGCAGGTCAGGAAGCTCAGTCCAAAGTGGACCCAGCATTGGAATTGCACGCCCAGCAGGGGCAGGTCAGATGGGACCAAGTGACAAGAATAGCTGATGGGAGGGAAAGCCTTTACACACACACACACATGCGCGCACACACACACACACACACACAATCTGCTCCAAGGAGTGTTCTGAAAAAAGCCACATCTTGTGGCCAGGATCTTCCTCTCCACCTGGTACTTACAGATCTTACGGATGCCAGGGTTTAGGGAGAGGCCTTTCCATCTAACTCCATAGGTTGTCCAAGGCCCTCTGTGAGCTCAGCCAGCCCTGTAAGGCCAGCCCAACACCTGCCCTACCGCTGAGATGAGTGGCAGATGGCCCGCAGAGGCCTGTCCGATTCAGCGTGGGCCCCTTCGTGGAGCAGGGCTCTCTGTGTGTGCTGTGCACAGGCGCTGCTGGCCCTGCCCAAGAGGAGATGATGCCCTATTGGGGTGGGTGAGCAGAGTTCGAGGAAGCCTAAGTAGGAGATTGGGGAAACAAACCAAGGTAAGAGAGAGCCTGGACCCCTCCCCACCAGCCCCTAGGCAGTCACTGTGCTAATGGTGACCGGGAAGGGAAGTCAGGGTCTGGGGCTCAAAGAACGGGCACACCCAGCCGTGAGTTTTTCCGGAAGCACTTGACCCCTGGGAAATGTGAACAGGGCGGTGCTGGAAGATGGCTCAGCAGACAGGCCAGCCCAGCTCCAGTGTCCGAACAGTGATTTCTCCAGTGAGGAGGCCTTGGAAGGGAAGCACAGTCTTCCCCGAAGGAGAACCAAGGGCTGAGGTTTTGCCCCTCCAGGAAGTAAGGTGCTCTCGGGGCCTCCTTGGACTCATCTGGGGGCTGCAGTGGAGTCAGCCGGACACCCTGCCCCACCCCTGCCTCCTCCGCCCCCACCCTCTGCAGCATCTGGCGTCTCCATGACAGCACATCTGCAGCTGCCGGCCTGTGATCCTGCTGCGCGGCTCTTCTTTTCTTTCCTCTCATCTTTTTTTTTTTTAAATAACTTCATCCTTTTCCCTCTCTGCTGAGCATTTATCCATTTAAGGAAGTTCCCAGTTTGCATTAGGGAATTATTTTAGCCCAGCCCAGTGAGGGATTATTTGGGAGGAAGCAGGGGTGAGTAAAAACATTGTGTCTGTGTATATATCGCACATGAGGCCAATTTTCCTTTGCCTTTAATGAATCACCTAGTGCACTAAGATATTCCACCCCCTGCCTTCCCCACACGCTCATTCGCACCCGTGCTAACACCTACGTGTACACGCGGGATGGTGCCCATGCACACCTGTGCTCACGCACATGCACACACAAATATGCACAGAACACACATCTGTCTGTGTGTTAGCAAAGAGACTCCTGCAGCTCCCTCTGATGGCTGGAGCCATCTCGCCCCTGTGGGGGCACAGGTGGCCTGGGTTGCTTGCACTTGGGGCGTGACTGGGATCCATTGTCTGAGAGGGCGAGGACACCATGCAAATTTAGACAAGCCCATGAGATCAGGCTGGGCCCGCGGTGAAAGTCCCACACTTAGTCAACACCCCCCTATCCGGAATATTGTCTCCGCAGCCCCAGCCACAGCTGGAAGCCCAGGTCTGCAGCTGTGGAACTCTAGATTTTTTAAGGACACATCTCTTTGCCCTTGCTTACATATCTACTGGGACAGCCGAGGCTCCCAACCCTCCTCCAGACACCTGGCCACGTTAGAAAGGGGTGGTGGGCCCTGCCCATGGTAATGGGGACCCTTCCTGGCCTGTGATTTTCTGAGCCAGTGATGCCAGGGCCCCTGCCTGTTGTGGGGCTCCACCCAAAGCAGGTTCACACCAGGACACACCTGGCACCTTTGGCATTGCCTCCCTGTGCCCTAAGCAATATCCCAGTGTTGCACCCAGGAGCCCACGCTGGGCACACCAGGGCTTTCCCCTTCCTGGCTGCGCCTCCAGAGTTGACGTCAGCTCCACACCCACACTGCCAAGACAAACCAAAAAGATGCTCTGGGCTCCAGAGCCACCGTCCTCCTAGGGCCCCAGAGAGCTTGCAAACCCAGGCTGCCTCTCCTTCTGTCCACCCCTCGCCACCTGGCCCCCAAAACTCCCACCCCCAAACCTGACACTGCCGTGATTTAGAGGAAACAAGGACACAGCAGGGACTGCCCCACCTGCTGCACGCTGCCTCGAGGCCTTCTGTTGCTGCCCACACCTCCCTGGGCAGTGCTTCTAAAGGTGCCAGAGCCTCACCACAGTGCCACTCTGATTGGGCAGGGGCTTCCCTCAGCTTCCCAGAGTGCACATCTGAAGGTGCCTACCCTGGGTGAGGGGCTGGTGGGCAGGAAGGTAGAGGGGAGACCATCTGAGCAGCCACCACCCACTCCCCAGTGCCTCTGTATGGCCCTTTCCAGGGACACCCACGGGCATGCGCACATGGCAATCCTGACCACCACCTGAGCACAGGTGCCCCCTTGGGACCACCCCCCCTTCTCTTTGTTTCCATCAGAGTAACCAAAAGCATTTAAACGTGTTATCGTTCTCCATCCATCTAGACTCCAGAAACAAAAATCAACACAAATCTTTATTTTTTGATTTAAAAGATATAACAAAAAATTATGGGGAGAGTATTCATTATGGCAGGTGTCTGTCTGTAAGAAAAAAATATATATCTCTATGTCATATAGCGTGTTAGCAGGTTTATTTTTTAAATGAAAGGTAAGAAAGATTGATTTGAAATATATACCACGAGAAGTCCCGTGTCCTGTCAAACTGTCAGTATTTTATAAATAAACTTTTTTTTTTTTGAGTTTTGAAGCAACATTCTTTTCCTTCCTGTTACGTGAACGGGGACACCTGTCCCAGTATCATACCCAGCAATTCATTCCCCAGACAGCCATTTTTAGCCATGCTGTGCTTTTGCAGAGAAGAGTCAAGGGTCTGACTTATCTACTCTCTTAATTCATAGGTGAGTGGACATCTGTGCCTTCCAGTGAAATGCACTATTTTTTTTATTTTAAACTTTTAGAATAAGAATCTACTTGATGCAATATGCAAATGATAATGAATAATAATACTAATAATAGCAATAGCTAACATGTCTATGGCATTCACTCGGTGCCAGGCACAGTTCTAATCACTTTACGTTTATTAACTCATGGAATCCTTGTGACAGTCCCGAGGAGGAAACCTGGGACAGGGAGACTTTAAGTGGCTTGCCCTTGGGGAGTGGTGGAGCCAGGATTTGTACTAAAGCCTTCTGGCTCTCAAGACATGACGCTGCCTCTCTGATATTTTAAGGCAAGCTCCTTGTCCATTTTTATTTTAATTTATGGAGCTAGCACCCCACATCCCAGTGATCTTAATGCCGTGAGAAACGCTACGTTGTTTGGTGGATCTAACCCAGTTAATCTACCCAGGGTTAGAGTTAGGGCTTAGATTGCCGAATTTATGAGTACAGTGGTGTTGCGTTATACCACATTTATCTCACATTACTTAAGTCATGTGGACTCAATAGACTCAAGAGAAACAGAGGGAAAATCTCTCTCTTTTTCTTTTTTCTTTTTTTTTTTTTTTTTTTGAGTGCAGTGGCGCAATCTCGGCTCACCACAACCTCTGCCTCCAGGGTTTAAGCGATTCTCCTGCCTCAGCCTTCCGGAGTAGCTGGGATTACAGGCATATGCCACCACACCTGGCTAATTTTGTATTTTTAGTAGTGACAGGATTTCTCCATGTTAGGCTGGTCTCAAACTCCTGACCTCAGGTGATCCACCTGCCTTGGCCTCCCAAAGTGTTGGGATTACAGGCATGAGCCACCATATCCGACCTTGTTTTCTTTCTTTCTTTCTTTTTTTTTTTGAGACAGAGTCTTGCGCTGTCACCCAGGCTGGAGTGTAGTGGCATGAGGCATGAACACAGCTCACTGCAGCCTCAACCTCCTGGGCTCAAGTGATCCTCCCACCTCAGCCTTCCAAGTAGCTGAGACCACAGGTTCATGCCACCACACCCAGCTAATTATTTTTTGTAGAGATGAGGTCTCATCCTGTTGCCCAGGCTGGTCTCGAATGTCTGGGATCAAGCAATCCTCCCACCTCAGCCTTCCAAAATGCTGGGATTACAGGCATGAGCCACCGTACCAGGTAGGGAAATCATGTTAATAGGGCATGTAATGCCACTCAATGAGTACACTTACTTTGCACAGTGTACATTATTGCATAATGCACATCAGACATTCATACAGAGGCTGCTCAACTAATCAAAACACAACTGGAGCAGGGCATTTCATATATATATTTCATATATATCATATATTCATATATATCATATATATTCATATATATATCATATATATCTATAGTTGTTTTGTTGGTGTTTTTTTTCTTGAGATGGAATCTTGGCCTGTGGCCCATGCTGGAGTACAGTGGTACAATCTCTGCTCACTACAACCTTCCACCTCCCTGGTTCAAATGATTCTCCTGCCTCGGCCTCCTGAAAGCTGGGATTACAGGAGCCCGCTACCACACGTGGTTAATTTTTATAATTTTAGTAGAGCTGGGGTTTCACCATGTTGGCCAGGCTGATCTCAAACTCCTGACCCCAAGTGATCCACCCACTTCGGCCTCCCAAAGTGCTGGGATTACAGGCATGAGCCACTGTGCCCGGCCTCTAGCCCACTCTTTTATTTAGTTATTGCAACTTTCTGTTTCCAAAACATTGAATATAATTTTCAGAGAAACAGTTTTTCTCCTTTTCTACTCTTATTTTATCTACTTACATCATACGTAATTAAATTATGTAATTACTATAAAAAGTACAACTGGCATAAACAAATTCAGAAACAATGATAATTGACTCTTTGTAAACATACAACTCAATTCAGTAGGAGCAGATGTATGTATGCTGGCCTGATAGAAAGCAGGCTACTACCTTTGGCATTCAGGCTACTGTGTACATCTCCATGTTTTGCAAAAGGAATATAGGGTATCCGTCTGTATGGCTAGCTCACTAAACGGGGGTCAGATAAGACTGCTTCTGGACATATCACGCACAAACCGTGTATACTGTACTTTATGACCAATTTTCAAGTCAATGAAGAGATTTTCAAGGGTAATTTTGACTACAGATAATTTCGATCTTATACATCATTTGGAATCCCCCATTACACATAACTCCATGCCCACTGCTCTGAGGATGTTTGGTTAAAAGATAATAACATAGCCAGGTGCAGGGGCTCACGCTTGTAATCCTAATACTTTGGGAGGCCGAGGTGGGCGGATTGCCTAAGGCCAGGAGTTCAAGACCTGGGCAACATGGTGAAACTTCGTCTCTACTAAAATACAAAAAATTAGCTGGGTGTGGTGGTGGGCACCTGTTAATCCCAGTCAGGAGGCTGAGGCACAAGAATTGCTTGAACCCAGGAGGTGGAGGTTGCAGTGAGCTGAGATTGCACCATCTCTCTCATCTTCTCCTCTTCTCTTTCTTTCTTTCTTTCTTTCTTTCTTTCTTTCTTTCTTTCTTCTTTCTTTCTTTCTTTCTTTTCATTTTTCTTTCTTTTTCTCTCCTGTTTCTTTTCTTCTTCTTTTCTTTTCTTTCTCATGGAGTCTTCCTCTTGCTGCCCAGGTAGAGTACAG